TTAGTTGTTAAACTTAACCAGTCAAAGTACAAGGGGATAAGCAAAAAAAAAAGGAATCCCAATGCAAGAAACATTGATTTTGATTGCCTTGAATGGAAGTATGAAAGAGATAATGCCAAACTGGCTTAACAGAAAAAAGGAGATGACTGAGGTCAGAATGAACATATAAAAAAAAAGAGGAAAGGGAGGGTGACTGGAGAAAGTACCTGATCATCCTCTCAAGCAGCTCAAGTATTGAGAAAGAAGGGTTCTGGGAATATAACTAACTTGTCTTTGTGAAAGAGGCATTCAAGACGGATATGTTAGAGTGACATCTCCCACAAGCTAGAAGGAAATATGTCTTTAGAGAGGAATGTTACAGGAAACAGAGGTTTGAATGGGAGAAAAATAAGAGCTCTGAAAACCAAACAAAGATTTTAGTATGGAAGAAAAATTAGACAACTGATTAGAAAGGTTTGTAAGGTGTCCATAAGAACCAGAGAAAGAAAAGAAGAATGAGCAGAGATTATACAGAAAGTCATTGACAAACTTATAGAAAAAGGTTGGACTAATCCTGACAAGGAGCATTCACAGCCAGAGCTGCAGAGTCTAGGACTAGTGACCAGAAAAGTGGAATCTTGGTTTGACGGAAGTTGCAAAGGTATTGAAGAGAGTACTCTTAAAGTGGGAACAAATCAGAGGATGTAGAGATTCGTGTGTAGGAAGAAACTGGTATAGGTGAGACAGCCAATCCACCATCATTTAAAAAATAAAAACTCCTTGGACAGGACTGGCTGATAACTGAAGGTGTTGATCATGAGCCCAAAACAGAAAATTTAGTCATAAAACAGAGATCCCAAGAGCAAGTACCTCCCTGTATTTGATGTAAGAAACAACAGTGATATTATCAGAATTAATTATAAAATATGACTAGCCAGATGAGAACTTATTTGTTGAATTTTGTGCAAAGGTACTTGAGGGCTTTCTGCACTAGCTGTCCCTAATTTTGAAGTTTTAGACTACAGGGAAGGCAGCTATTCAACATCACCCATCACCAACTAGCCACTCTTGGGCTTCTTTTATCAACAAATAGTGGGATTATCCATTACATTATAATGCTCCCACAGCTGAAAGGGTGAACATATTCAAATAACGAGTTGAGTACTCTAGCCACCAGGTTATGTCAGGCCCAGACAGACAAGACGGAATATGGTGGCAGGCTCACTGGGCAGCCAGAATCTTGAGGACATTGATATAGAGAGACCACTCTTCTAGAGACTAGACCCCATATAGGGAGTAAAGTCAAAAGCTGTACCCCACCTGGGTAAAAAGGAGTCTATGGACAGGTGAAATTCAGGCAAGGTGAATTGAAAAAGGGATGTCCATGACAGTGAGAGGTAAAGAAATGGAGGGGAAGACACAAGACAAGACAATGGATCTCTGGACATAATCCAATGATTGACCAGGTTTCACTGAAGAGGACACATGTGGCACACCTAAGAAGAAAATGAAATTTGAGAGAAGCTAGAGACCCAAAAAGAGACAGAATCTCTCATGCAGGATGAGGAGGCATGAGAGTTTTGGTCAGCAGAAATTGCCTTGAAGATAGAAAAAAGGCTTAGCCAACCATACAAATGAGTTGAAAAAGACTCCCAAGTGAAACAGATACTGGGTGAGGGTCAAAATGGACATAGCTTGATCAAACAAAACAAATGGGATGGCTCCCAAAGGAAAAGGGAAGTTGCAGCCAAGAGTTCCTGTGTGGAAGGGAGATGAGGAGCCAGTTGTCCATATAGTAGTGGAAATGCAGGCCCAATGAATGCATCTTCCATTCAAATCCCTTAGTAACAGATTGAAGATATGAAACCAGAACTGAAAAATCTGACCATAGTGGAAGAACCAGATGAAACAACAGGTGGTCAGATGAATCAGAAAGTGAAGATATGCATATAAAATACCATCTTTCGTTATCCACAGCCCAGAAGAGAACATCTACTTCAGATTGAAAAAACTGTATCTTGAAAGTAGGAGTGACAAAAAATTGGTTCAAAGATGGTAGATTTTTCATAGGTAGCCAATCTCCAATCTTATTGGGAATGACAGAAAAGACTGGAGTAAAACCACAGAGTGGAGTCTAGAAGCTTTACCACAGCAGTGATAAACTGGAAAGACGATACATCCTTCTCCAGGTGCTGAAGATACAAGGGATCTGAGAAAGGGTGGAAGAAGGATAAAGAGGAAGTTGAGTGTGGAAAAATAGAGAAAAATATGAGAGTACCTGTTTGACTTAACCTATTCACTGCAGCTGGTATATACAGTGTTTACAGCCTCTGAATTTTTTCTGTTCACTGAGCTGGTACACAACTAGATTCTTGCTTTTAAAATTCCCACACGGGGTGTTGAATCATAAATTTATGTGGTAATGTTGTCTATTGACATTCTGCTTTATTTTACCATACAGTAAGAGAATTATGTCCACTTTCTGTGCATCAGTTTTCCTTCAAGGTATCAGAGGCCTGTATGACAACATCTTGTTGCTGCAGCAGCAAGAGCCACCAGCTTATTTTATGGATTTACTAGGTAGCATTGACTCTGAGTTAATACAATGAACAGAAAAAAATACATTTAGAGGCCATATATGCATCAGTCGCAGTGAATGGGTTAAAGGTCTTCTGCAAAGGGAATCCACATGTATGCAAAGTGAGAGAGTTGAGCTCCCATTGGAAAGAAGGCAAGGGGTGGTTGCAGAAACAAATCACCTCCATGATGGCCAGCCTTCTGAGAGGTAAGCATAAGAATAAAGAAAAAAAAAACAGGAGAGAGGATGATCATACAAGGCTTTCAAAAACAAAAACAGAGAGAAATTGGAACCAAAGTGAACAAAGGTGAGTGTTAACAAACTGCGTCACAAAGAGTTTCCAATTATAGAATTAGGTATATAGTACTATAATCTCTTATTTAGCTTCTTCTCTATCTATCAAGCTCAAGCCCACAGTTTGGTAAATGACGATTTAACTTCCTTCTGTAAACAGTTATACTCCAAAAATTTAACCTGTAATGTTAACAAGTTCTTAAAATCCTCTTTATAAGTTGTTAGAAGAGTTTACAGTTACCTATCTAATACAGACATTGTCCTCATCCTATGAACTTATTTAACTTTGAATGTTTTTGAATATAAGTAACAATTACTTTCCTTTTTTGTTTTGACATTGTTTCCAGTGTCCTTTTCTCAAACTCAGTAAAAAAAAAAAGAAAAGAGAACTCAGAATTACTTTGTAATAAACCCTTGTCAAACATACTGTAATTTTATGGAAGTATTCTGTTACTCTAAGGGAAATCAGTTACACCTGAAAATATCAAATTACAATTTCACTATTCTCTATAGATCTCCCATCAACAGTGAACTATGACTGGAAAAGGATCTTACCATCAATACTTGAAAGCCTAAAATCGAATGGGTAGCCAGCTGGGAACAGCAGGAAGCGAGTGGAAAAATCTTGATTCCAAAAATAATCTTGGCACAGTAACAACAGCTAAGTCAACTCATGTTATCAAAGCAGTACTCTGTTACTAGTAGTGAATCAAATATAATTTAAGGATGCATCTACAGATGTATTGCTTATAAATTAAACCAAAAGATGTAAAATCTCAAATCACTATTTAGGCTTCACTTAGAATATTATGTAGTTTTGGGGTATATCCTTATCTAAGAAAGTATGTTGAATTATTGGATAAGGTTCAGAGGATGGTATTATATGAGGTAAAAAAGATCTTGTATTTCCTTATTCAAAAACAAAAAAAAAATGATATTTTGGTGCTGCATTATGAAGTCAAGGGGACACAAGATTAAGGTTTGGAAAACAAGCTAAGTTTGAGTAAAGACAGTATTATTTTATTAACAAGATGCTTAGCTCATATGGGATGAACTTTCATCAACAGTAATAGATGCCAAGAGATAGCAAGGGGAATTGATTACTTCTTAAACATTAAGTGGTGGGTTAATATTTGTTGTTTTTTTTCTTCTTAGAGGTGGATATACATGGAGTGACTTAAAAGACCAAGAGTTACTTTGCTTACTGTATACTATATTATATGTTACTTATTTGTTACTTGAACTCACCATTTAGTAACCTAAATTAATTTAGGTAGGGTTGGTTTGTTGTTTTTAGAGCCAAGCCACATTGGAGTATCTGCTGCATTGCAAGTCCTTAAACTTACCACTGTCCCAGGGGGACTTTAGGTAGGAGAATAATATTGTGGCATTATGCAAAATTTGTTATTTGGTATTATACAATGGGTCAACTATTTAATGTTAATGATTAATGTTATTTTCACCAAAGGTACAATTGAAAATGTAATCTGTGATGTAGAGTCCTAATAGTTTCTTTGATTTGCCATTGAAAAAAAGCAAAAACAACAACTGATTTACAAAACCAAACTGTGCTTATGAGCTTTGAATAAGTAAAACTGACATCTAGAGCAAAGAGTATGGCAGATCAAAGAACATACTAAGCTCCAAAGTCACAGATTATATTTTCAGTTTTATCTTTGGTCAGAATAAAATAAACCTGTAATATTACATCTTCCTTGTTCAGTTCAAATGTGGAAACTTTTAGTTGTGTTTACTAACTTGCATGGTCAGTGTTATTATTTGTTTGGTTGAATATTCCAGAGGTTACTTTATCTCCATGTTTATATCTGAATATTGAAAAGCTAACTGATAATTGTCAATTAGATAGTAATCACTGACAATCAGCTTAATGCTGAAATAAATTAGCTGTTTTAACCATATTTACTGTGCATACTACAAATGTGTATAGAATCATGTCAGAATAAGAAGTATTTCTATTTTTTGTGCACCTTCTTAAAATATATTTCATTTTAAGCAATAATGTATCAGTTTCTGAAGTATAAGATGAGGTTTATGAAAGTATAAAAAGTTGTAATATCTTATTTAAGTACACAGGAGAGTGGAATTTTGGTTGAGGATAGACTGTATGTGTTTACTTTAATAAAATTACCTTTGAAAATCTGAATCCAGTGTTCACCAGTTCATGTAGAACTGGGTTCCAGAAGTTTTCAAAATCTTCCTGGTTACTACCCTGCATACGCCGTACCTTCTCCTCTGCAAACTCCTTGGTGTGTTGTTTTCTCCAATATCTAACAACAACAATAAAATTAGCTCCAATAAAGTTGCATTTAAGTAACAGATTCTATATACCCTACTTACTCAAATGAAAACTTAATTGTAGGAATTGTAATAATTTAGGTTTTACATCAAGTTTTTCTGCCAAAATATATGAAAATACTGTTTATAAAAATTATAAAGAAAAATTAAAACCAATATACTACTAAAAGTGAAAATTTTTCCTTAGTATTAAAAAAAGCAAAAACAACAACATTAAAATTAATGATTCTTACTTATCCAATAACTCAATCAGAACATTTTCTAATCTCTCTTGATGTTGCTTGAAGGCTTTTTTGTTCTTGGCATCTTCCATTTCCTGTAAAAGCATTTCCATGACAAGTTAGTGCATCCAAGTATAAAAACACTTTATCAAATATTAATATTTTTGTATCAGTATTTGAATACCATAAGCTCATAGCACATACTTTTCTATAAACATAAATCAATTTCTTTGCATTTACTCTTTTCCATTTACTGATTATATCTTAAATAGTACCATTACTTATAGTATTTTGGCACTTGTGTATAAAGTTAAAATCATAAATAACATTAGTTTACATGATTCTGTTTCTTAGTCCAAAGAACAGTTTATTAAATTTATCAAATCCATGTCAAGTATTTTATTACAAAGTTTTTATAAGCCTTTCTATAAAGTCATAGCCCTCTCAAGAAATGTATGAGATTGATTTGATATCCGTTTCTGTTAATTTTTGCATAAACAATTATTTTACACAACAATTTTAATTTGTTAATATCTTTTAACAAATAATATTAATGATTTAGTGATAATTCATATTATACTTACTGTTATTAACTTGTTAAGCTTCAATTTTGATAGTTATCCTTACATATTACTCTTAATTTTATTTTTGTAATACATTAGCTTATTTGTGTTTCAATTTTGCATAACTCAATTTATCAAATGGTATTTATATTCACAAGAAAATGTTAATATCAAGAACAACAAGATACTATGCACTGTTTCAAAACAGTGTATCCAGAACAATTCTTTATCACTTACCCATATCATTTTCTTTTCAATTCACCTAATTTCAACATCATTTCGTTGATAAGAGTACTTATTATTCTTAATACTACAGTTACAACAGCATTGATAACTCATATTACACTGACTTCCATCTAATTCTATTAGTTTTATATTTGAGTACAGAAATATATATATATATATATATATATATACATACATGCATACAGTGATTGAACGTGGGGGGAATAAAGAAGTGGGATGGTTTGTGAAATTTTGAGCAGGGTATTGCATTTTTTTTTCATGTGTATTACTTGTATAGTATAAGAATAACAAATTTTAAAATTAGAAACTTATTAAATAAAGTTAGATTAGGTAAGATAATGAAAAATAATAATCATTATAATAAAATTCTTCATGGGGTATACTCTCAACCAGCTCATGCATTATATAATTTGATATAGTAATGGTAGCTATACGTTTACCAAGTATTTTACAAGTTGTGTGGTAGGATTATTAGTTAGACATTTTTCAAAGGGCAATAAAACAATGAAATTAAGTATAACCAGATGTATACCATTATGAGTTATAGTATGGAAACTCTGATGGTTAGTTTGTGGATATATAGTGAGAGGGTTCATTTGCTCAATCCTTGTATTACTTTGTCTCATTCCTGCCTCACTCTTACAGGGTATTTTAAGGGGAAAAAAGTTTCTCTTCCCAGTCCCTTGCAACCATAAATATCTATTGCATTGTCTACTGAATCTTTTTCCTTCTGAGAAGCTTACATTCTATTAAAAGATAATGGGATGGTTTTGGGCCCTCTTGAAAAGAAGTGGGATGATATTCCACCCCACTTCAAGCACTGTATATATAGGTTTTTCTTCAAACAAAGGTAATACTAATAGAATTAGATAGAATTCGCTCAGTGTAATGTACAATATGAGTTGTTAATGCTGTTGTAACTTTTTGGTATTAAGAATAGTTAGTACTCTTTATCAACAAAATGATGTTGAAATCAGGTGAAAAGAAAAGAATATGGGTTAGTGAAAAGGAATTGTTACAGAAATATTGTTGTAAAACAGCATACACTATGTGCTCTTCATTTTTTCAATTTCTTCATTTGTTTTATTCTTCTTTTCTTTACTTATATTCATAATATCATTTCAGTAATGTATATCATACTGAATTCAAGTTATTTTTTCTGTATATTAACATGTGAAGTAGTCATTTCACATGGTTTAGTATAATTTGTTGTTGGATATACGTTTTTATTATGTTTTTGTTTATGGTGGGGTAGGGTTAGGACTGATTTAGTAGCATTATTATTAAATGTTTGTAGCTCAGTTATCTTAGAAAGGCTTTTCCCATGTAACTTGCACATATAAAAGTTCGTTCACATTCTCTAAAGCTTTTGGGTATTATCTTGTTACTTGTTCTTTCATATGCTTTATCACCAGTTTTGAAAAGTGCATATTGTAAATATTCTCTTATTGCCTATTCCACTAAACACATATAGGCTACAATGTAGGTTAACTCAAGTAACACAAAAGGTAATAAGAAAAGCATGAATTAAAACTGTCATCAGATACACACAAAATACATATAATAACACTGACACTCAGGCAACCACCACTTTTGACCTCTTATAACAGCTCTTGGATACAAGTGTCCCCTAGTAGAAATTTTAAATAAATTGTACTTGAAACAGTTTTGAATGACAAAAATAATCGACAGAGAAAATATAATAAAAATATTCCAGTTAATATAAATAATTAAACTAAATCATTCACATACAAAAAAAACTTAAGTCTGATTCATCACAAGCTCCTGATCAGGCAGTATATGTGCAAATCAGAACATTCAGCATAATCTACAGAAATGAGATGACCGACACACCTCAAGTACATGACTGCATGATATGACATTATTAGTGTTTTAAACTTAGTAATCCCAATATATCTCGCAGACTACATTTTTACTCATAGGAAAAAATTTAATCACATGTAGCTGAATAATAGAAGTTAGAACAGTGATGAGTTGACCAACCTTTTGTTATTTGTGAATACATACTGAATATTGTACTAAGTTGTTACTTTTAAAATCAAAAGATTCCATAACCCCAAAATCAGAACTGATTCCTGTACCAAACTGTTTGCTACTAGGCTTCATTCGAAGTGTTCAGTTCAATACAACTTTTCTTGGTTAGGTTTTCTTCAAAAAAGACAATCCATCTCAATTGTAGATGTTAAGGAAGTACCATGATATTTTTCACATCTTGTAAAGAATAGTTACAATTCTATTGCAATTCTAATCTACAATTCTAATTCTTTCCTTCTGGCAAACTACAAAACCTATAATTAATGTTGGGATTTTTTTACTATTAAACAAGGATCAGAAAATAATTATGCGAATGTTTGAGTAAATCCTTGTTTACCATCAAATCAAGGGTGGGTTTGTATTTTAACCAAGTTTTTCACCTTAAAAATAATATTTTTCCTTATCTGAAAATGAATTTTCAATAGATACTGGTGGGCACAGCATAGATACTTCATTATGTAGTTTTACGTTTAACAAAGTACTAGCCTCCCTCACCACCCCACACACACATGGCTTAGAGGTAAGTATGAAGAGTTATAACATTAAAAAACGGGATTCGCTACCCACGGTGGACACAGTACAGATAGCCCTTTGTGTAGTTTTGTGCTTAAAAGCAAAGAAACAAAATCTCTCGTAAAACTTTCCTTTACACATTGAATAGTTTGATTCCTACATGCATCTGCCTTACAGAGTTGCATGCCACTAGCCTTGATCTATCTTCCACTTAGAAAATAACGTGTTTAACAAGAACTGTGCTAGTGCATGATGTCATTGTCATGTGATGATAACTCTCCATCAATAGGAGAGTGACACAACCTTCTTGTAAAGTAGCCAAATTAACTTCATTCTTGAATGAGGCAAGAAGAAAGTACACTAGAAGTGGGTGGGATGGTGTTTGTAGGTGTGTATCTATCAGAAATACATTTTCAGCTAAGGGAAATGCTAAATTCCAATATTATACCTCTCCTCTACACACAAAATAGCTAGAATCCCACATTGAAATGATAGGGGCCAGTACATACACTAAACTTAAATGAGCTCCTTTCAGAAAGTGCCTGAAGGGAAAACCCATGGAGTGTGACATCTAACGCCCAATGCCAGGTGCTTTATAAAGGTGATGAAGTAGGAATTATTTTAACAAAGTGGAGAGGACAGAGGAAGAAAAATCTGGCTGTAATGGAGAAGGTGAAATGTAGTTGATAAAGCTATTCAATAATCACCATCATCTGCAGTAGGAGGAGGAAACATGGCCATACACTATTGGGAATACATGTGCTGCATCCAGCTACAACCAACACCAGATCTGCCAGGAACCAACATATATAGCAGACAGTAGGAAGAGAGACTGCAAACCTGGCTATATTTCATACAGTCTGCAGTAGGAGGAGGGATACTGGCCAGAACACCAACACAAGACCCACAACAAGCACTTAAGGTACACAGATCTAGGGGTAACATCAGGTATGAGGGGGGTCTCCTAATAGAAGCCAATTGTTCTTGTAATAATGAAACTGCAGCCCCAATGCATGAATGCAGTGGGCAAATGTCCCCATGACTTGATAGAAGACATAATGCCAAAAGGAAGAGCACAGAACTGGAAGACTCAATCCCAATGGACAAAATAAAAAACAAAATGTATGGGGGAGAGGGCATTGGAAGTTGTAAAAAAGTGTCCAGAATGTTGACTCTGGTCATGTAGAAGCCTGATGAAAAGAACCACTGGAGATAAAAAACATCATACAGAACCAAGGGATGGCAAGAAACTAACTGAGAGACAACAGGTCAATAACTGTATCCCATTCCCTGGTCTTCTTGGGGATCATAAAGAGGTGTTAGTAATAACCTGACATAGGGATAAGTACTCTCTTGATGATGCTCTTGGCCAATATATCTGGGACTGCATCCTTGAGACACTGTAGGTAAATGGGAATGTAGTGATGAAAAAAGGAAGCTAGAAAGAAGGAGAAGTGAAGAGATATGCCATGGGTGAGAACCTGAAAACCCATCTGTTGAATGAATATGAAGATCAAAGACTTGTGAAGAAAGACAGAGAGCTCCAACATGACCAAATCTGATAGGGTGGTAACCAATGAGATGAGCAATGCCTCAATGTCAGAAAGTAGGAGAACAGAAAGATGAAATGGGAAGAGGAGATATGGATTCAGCAAGACTAGGAGTAGAAACAGAAGGGTGAGGCTGAGAAAGGCAAGAAACCAAACAATACAATGAGG